TTCACTCTTATTTTAGTAGTGCAGGTGTTAATGAGAAGGAATGTTTTTCTCGTTTGTTTCTTTGTTAGGGGGCAATTCACCGCATAGATGGGCCACAAACTTTATCTTGAGAGGCTAAATTTTGACGTGTCTAAAATTCAGCACATCACATAAGAATATCTACAAAATTTTGCGGTGGCAAAATTTTTAATTTATAAAGGATACTATTGAAAATTTTTAACTTTTTGAAAGAAGAATATAGATTTCTAGAACTTGGGAAGGGCGGGGCCAACCACCAGCCAGTCACCACCTAGCTTCCCACCAAAATGTCACATTTAAGTGGTTTGCTTCAAAAATAATTCAGACGGGTGTGTTGTGCATCCATTTGGTCCGATGGTGGTTCAGTTCCCTCCGAGTTATTTTTGGATCTCCTTAGGTCCGTCCCCTCCTCTTTAATGTAGAATAGATTAGGCTATACAACAGTTGTCGTTTTCGAAAAAAAAAGGGAAGGGCGGGGCGTGCCCACCTGCCTCTTTGAATCTTTGCCGCCGACCTTTCTCTAGCTACAACCACATGTCATTTGCAGCATCTTTACAGATTATCCACAAATATAGAGCTAACATCAATAGGGGATTTAATACTCAATATTTATAGCAGAAGTGATTCATTAGTACCAACTAGATAAATCATCAAGTGCCAGCTAAATGGAAAGAAGTTAATGTGAGGAATGCCTGATCTGGTTACAAGAAGACAAATGTCCCAGAAGTTGCACAATATTTGCTTAACTATCTCTGGTGAAAAGACATATTTATCCGGATAAACAGATGAAAGAAATTGTAAAAATTATTACCATTGTAAATCACAGCTGAACTAAAGCTTAAAGAAAAATTTAATTTGACAATTCTTTAATCATCCTTTTTTTTTCTCTTTGTCAAAATTTGCCCATACTTCAATACATATCAAATTACCTTCATCGAGTTGTAAGGTTGTAAAGCTTTTACAAAGTTTTAGATTGTAAGGTTGTAAAGCTTTTACAAATTCACCATTTCTTCAGCTTGGGACGCTTTGCGGCCCAAAAGAGCTTGCCTTGGATCAAGGAAGTGTGTATGGAGTGCCAGTGCTCCTTGCAAGATTGCTGTCTTTATGTGGAAGCTGCTCAATCGGTATCTCCCTTTCCCTGATGCCCTTCAGCGGTTTGGACTCCACCTCCCTTCAAAATGCCCGTTTTGCTTGAATGGAGAGTCTCAAGATCACGTCTTATCGGAATGCGTTCTAGCATCTCAGGTTTGGAGCTTTTTCGCTAGAGCCTTGTGGGTTCCTCAGTCGCCTACGGCCGACACTATCTACCGTTTACAGCAATGGTGGCTATGTCATCCACCAGGCTCTGCACGGGGTAAGCTGTGCAAGGTATTGCCGTCGCTAATCTGTTGGGGGCTTTGGAAAGCTAGGAACATGGCGGTGTTTGAGGGTGTTGTTTTAACCCCAACTCAGGTTTGCTGGAATATTCAAACGCTGCTGCATCACTTGTCCCAGGTCTGGCCTTTCGCTCGAGTGACGCAGGATGACGGGGAGCTGGTCCACTCGGGCTTGTTTCTCCGACTGACATCACTTAAGCGGATGGCCCCACGCTGGGTCCTTTGGGAATCACCACCGGAGGGGTTTGTAAAACTGAATGTTGATGGCTCATCTCTAGGGAATCCAGGCCCCTCTGGTGCGGGAGGTGTGTTTCGTGACTCGGGGGGTAATGTCCTCCGTGGTTTCTCCTATTTTTTGGGATCAAGGACAAACATGGAAGCGGAGGCCTCGGCATTACTGGAGGGTATGTTGCTCTCCACAGGTTACCATTCTCTGCAAGTTGAAATGGACTCTCAGGTTCTGATGGCTATGGTGAATGGCAAGGGACGAGTACCTTGGAAGCTATGGAAGACTATCTCATGCATCCAAGCCTTAGCGCTGGGCCGCCAGGTTACCTTCTCTCATGTCTATCGAGAGGCAAACGGGGTGGCTGACGCCCTGGCAAATCTAGCAAGTTCCACGGGTGTCGGTCACAGCTTTGGGGCCTCCACCCTCCCGGACTACATACAGGGGCTAGCCCGCCTAGATAAGATGCGACTGCCTTATGTACGGTTGTCTTAGCCCTTCTAGCAAACATCTCAGAACAGAACATCTCTTGTGTCTATTTGTGGACAGAATAAATTTGGGAGTGGCGTCCCCCCTCGTGTTCGAGGTTAGCCGAAAAAAAAAAAATCCTTTATTGACAATTAAATTGAAAAATGGGACTGTAGCTTTATATATATATATATATATATATATATAGTATTTTAGCTTTCTTTTTCTGGGTAAACCCTTTATCTAAGAGGGGGATGTCAAACCAAGTTTTATTAATAAAGAAAATAAAATGAGGAATCCATAGGCCTAGCATTTTATGTGAAGCCATAGGACTTATTGAGACATTACATTCTCAATGGGCAGGTCAAGCATTTTATGTGAACCGTCACACGAGAAAAAAAAACACTAAAAAAGAAGTATTGCACCCTTACATTTTAAAATTGAATATAAGAAAATAGACTAACTTCATCTTGCACTTCTAAACTTGTATTATTTTCTCAATTTGCACTACAAGTTTCAATTTTGAACACTTTGCACTCTAAATGCTCAATTTTGGATACTTTGCACTCTACTTAAGTTCATGAATTTTCCCGTTAAAATCCAATGATTGACAATTTCAACGAAATTGACAAAATAGAGAATCCAATAAATCAATGATAATATACCCAAAGTGGTAAAAAAGTATCAAGATATTATAGAAAAAATAAAATAATAATTTTTTATTAATTTGCATAATCTTTTATTTCATTAATTTTGTTGACAATATTAGTGATTGAAACTATACAAATTAATAAAAATATGCTGAAAGTTGTAAAAAAAAAAAGCAAAGGTATCACAATTAGAACAAAATAGTACATTGTAATTAATTTTTTACATCCTTTATCTCATTAATTTTGCAAATATATTTATTGATTGGACTTAAATGATAAAAACTTGAAAGTTAGAATCCAAAATGTTCAAAATTAAGAGTTTAAAATACAAAGTGATAAAAATTAAAGTTTAAGATGCAAAGTGAAAAAATGGTACAAATTTAAGGGTGCAAAGTGAAGTCAGTGCAAGAAAAACTATAACCATCCAAACCGACAATGACGCTAAGCTTAGGTAGAAATATTTAGCCTACTTATAATGATAATCAATTTTTATTCTAGTTTCAGTTCCATTATCATGGCTTTTGTGTTGTTAATTCCTCTTTCAAGTTGGTTGCAAAAGGAGAGAACTAAAAAATTTTTCAAGAACTATTTAAAACCATTTTGGTTAATTTCACTTTGTCTCCTCAACATCATAGAAAATTCACTTCAATTTCTAAACTTTAAAATGAGACAATTAAATTCCTGCAAAATCCATTTCGATTACGTACAATCGATGACGGAATCTAGAAAATTAACGTATATTAGCACACGGCCCGCTTGTGCGGTCGCAAGTGTCATGAACCACAAAAAATAGGGATATAAAGGTAATTTTGCCCCCTTTATCTTTTTCCCAAAAGATCCTTTTCCCCTTCTGTTTCATCCGCCCTTTTTCGTTCCTACCCCTTTTCCTATTCTTCTTCTTTCAACCGGTTTCTCAACTTTTCCAGCAACACACTCCTCAACAAACCCTCTATTAAACTGCTAGATGTTGAAAGAAAAAGGCAGTAAGCTTGGGCTTAATATCACCATTCTTTCATTTATGCTCAATCTCCCATGAAAGCCATTCCCCTTTCTAAACTGATACCCCATGAGATCCATAGATCTAATTTGTTACAACTCATCAAATTTCAATTTAATTAAAACACCATCAAATTTGAAGTTTACATTTGAAGGTTTTTGAGACTGATACTTTGTTGGAAAAAGAATCAGAAGGGATGGAAAGGATAATGGAAGGAGTGAAGAAGGTCTGAATGAAACCACCCAGAAATTGCCACTGTGGTTAAAGAACAATGGATTTGCTGCTGAAAAGAAGATAAGAACCTTGATTGTGGATATGAGGGATGAGTTCGTAGCACAACCATTCCCTAAAGCAAAGATTGGTAGCTGAAACAGAGTACAGAGTATCCGGAGAATGAGGAGCAAAACTAAAAGATGATTCCTAGTCTCTCTCTCTCGTCTTCTCCTTTCTAAGGTTTGGTGATCGGTACAAATACCTAAATGGAAAGAACAAAACATAGGGATCTGCCATGATATTAATTTGGATTTAACTAAAACATATCCATCAAAATTGAACTCTTAAAATTTCATCATAGAGTTGTTCTAAAAGATTTTGTGGTTCAGAGTATTTGGGAACTTGCTGAATCATTGGTATCTATTATTCTTATTGGTAATTGTAGGGATTCAATTTTATGGCAATCAACTAAGGTTTTTGGCTTGCCAAAAAGGAAAAAAAGATGATCCGTTTCCAGAAATGAAGAATAGCTAACCGGAGGATGACATTTTGGGTCCTCTAGGCTGTACTAGCCACAATTTGTGATTAGATGCAATTTTTGTGTAAAGATAACTTCACTTGAAAAAGTGTTTGACAGAAGAAGAAGAATAGAAAAAAGAAAAAAAAAAGGCTGAATGAGTAGAAAAAATGGTGGATATAAGCTCCTTGACGCAACCGGAAGTCAGCATATGCCTTTTGGGTTGGGTTGTGGGTTCAGTTTATATCCGGTGTGTGTGTTTCTTAACTAAGGTATGAGAGAGTAGAAAAAATGGCAAAGTTACCATTATGTCCCCTACTATTTGGTTTATAAAATTTACCGTCACACTAAAGGAGGTCTTCTAATACGACGCCAGTTTTTGGAATTCTATCATTGATTTTACTTAACCGAAATGGATTTTGTAGTTTAAGCACTTAAATCTCCTATTTTGAAATTTAGGGACTGAAGTGAAATTTCGGCTGCAGTTTGAGGGGACAAAGTAGAATTAATCCAAACCATTTGGCTATCCAAACTGTTGAGTTGTGCATTATTTGGACTATTAGATTGCTTTCTGCAATAATTAACACTAACACCCCACTCAGTAAAAGTTAAACACAAATATATATCTCTAAAAGCACCAGCCAAAGGCTTAGATTACGTGCCATTTCAAAAGCTTCAACTACCCAAATATAATCAAACACAATCAAGTTTGCAACCTCGTGATACCGTGTCGTTTATTCTATTGAATTCTTAAGCAGTCGCAGGCAAAAATGCTCGTCCAGGCTCCCTTTCAGACAGAGGTCCATGGCAAGTAAGGAACTGTAAAAGGCCAATGTATTAATCCTCTCATAAATTGAACAAGGTAAACCAGACTGAAATGAAAGGCTAATTTACAGCAAAGCCTTGCATAAATTTACATGAAGGAATCCAAACTTTATTACAACTGCATCAAGAAATTAAGCACATTAATACTTTTCATCATGCCAACATAAAAAGGAATTGAACAATGCAACTTAAGTTCATACGATCAACTATTAAAGTTTGATCAATTCATGTTTTAATCTTGACATATATAGTGTTTTGTATGTGCTTCGAAATTCATGTCAGGCATGCTACAAATTTTAATGACAAGTGCAGCTGAGGATACTTTACTTTAGTGGTTAAAGTTAATATTCAAATCTCTGTCGCTATTCGCTTTTTAAATATCACCCATCCCTTACTAAAATAACACAAATATTTTAAAAAAAAACAAATGTGTTAAAACTTGAAAGTAATTGAGGACTCTACTGTTAATTAACTAAAAATATAATTGCCATAATTGGTAAAATTGAAATGCACGAGATTTGAGTTTATATTGTTCAAAGAATGTGGAATCAAAACTGAAACTTTCATAGAAGGGAACGTGAAGTGAAGTGAAGCGGCTAATAGTGGTGGTGCAAACCTTGGCATTGACACCATCAGGTACAATGCGGTTCTCCCGCTTGAATCTAATGTAGTCAGCACGCTTGAATTTAGTGAAACCCCTGCAATTCGGTATTGCAAAATGATTAAGGATACATTTTCTATGGTTCTTTGGAAAAGAAAAGTTAATTTGCAATCCACAGAACTTAAAAGCACAGCATATGTAGTAACTAACAAAACAAACCTCCTGCTTACAATGATATGGTAAATATTTAACTTGAAAATATGCGTAGGAGCCCTCGTTTGAACTTTAATTGAAGAGAGCAAATTGTGACTTTATCAAGCATCAAAATAGTGAACTTTAATTGAGGATCATGGGCCTTGACACCAAATAGAGACAATTGCCCAAGATTGTGGGTGTACCAGTTCCACAAATGTAGATAGCGATACACCAAATTACAAAACGAAACTACTTCTCAATAACGAAAAGTAATTCCAAATTAACTTTAAAAATGAATACGGAGGAAGAAAGACAGAAAATCTAATTGGGGTGCCAAGATTTGAAAGATGTATTGGAAAAATACCATTTCCCACTGACTATTATCTTCTGACGACCGGGAAACTTGAACTTTGCACGGCGCAAGGCCTCCTGAGCATGATTACAATTGGCATCTTTGCATCGGACTGAAAGCAAAATTTGACCAATTGCTACACGAGCAGCAGTGCCTAAAGGCTTACCAAAAGCTCCCCTCATGCCAGTTTGAAGCCTATCAGCTCCAGCACAGGACAGCATTTTATTGATGCGGAGTACATGGTAAGGGTGCACTCGGACCCTGAGATGGAAAGAATCCTTTCCAGCATATTTTGCCATGTACTTGTTACACGCGATGCGCGCAGCTTCCAGTGCCTCGCTAGAAACGTTCTCCTTTTCCCAGCTGACCAAATGCACACAACAGGGAAACTCATCAACCCCTCTTTTCTTCATTCCAACATCATAAATCCTGATTTTTGGATCCGGTACTCCACGATTAAATCGAGATTTTGGGTAAGGCTTGCCCTTTATCTGGCGATAACATCTTGCTGGTCCTGCATATTCCAAATATAAAACCAGAACCAAAACATAGTTTCAATTTGATCAAAATGTTAACAAACTGAATTCATTGGATAGAAGCGTGGTTGTCCAAATTTTCTTCAACTTTTTCTAGTTGCTGATATTTTATTACTCCGTATTGACATTTCGACTTTTTAACAGCTTCCTCATAATCTTTTATAGGGTAAACTCCACATCCTAACATTATGTAAAAGAACCTCTTAATTTTCACAATCGCCTTGTTTAAAAAGTTGCTAATTTATCATAATGGCAAGAGTATAATTCAAGGGCTAAAACTGGATGCGAAGAATAAAGTGAATTAGTCACTTGAGAATGTAATTATGTTTATGTTAAACAATACAAGCACATCCAAGATAATCTAACATTACCAATATCCAATATCATACCATTTATCTGATTCCAACAAACAGAACGGCAGCATCTTGCAATAAAGTATTCAAAACTTAAATAATCCCAAAGGCTGAACACATGAGAAATTACTAGAAAACCACAACCAGAGTACCATATTTTGTCTCTATACCGTTAATCATTGTTGAAACCGAAAAAAAAAAAAAAAAAAGGGACCCATATTACGTACAGAAAAATCAACGTATGTGCTCTTTTCAGAATCCTACTTCAAACGGTGCAAGTATTTAAAAATTCTGAAGCTTTAAATTTTCAATTTTACAGAAATTAGAAGTTAAAAAACTGCTGCCAGGAATGAATTAAAAAGTTGCATAGCCGGAAACACAAGGAAAGCTAAAAATGAGCAGATAAAATAAATAAAAGAGCAAAAAATATTAAACTTCAAGGTTCAGACTTAAAAAAAAGCATGCGAATTTGGGAAGAGAAGAACACTTACTTCTACCCATGGCTACTATTGCTTGTGATTTGCCAGTTTTGTTTCTACCTTTACTCAATGAACAAGCTGAAGGACGAGAAGGATCTATAACGCCGAGGAATCAAGAATTACATAAGTAGTATTCGGTGGGTCACGATGAGGAGCTACGTGGAGCTTCTTTTAAGCTCTGAAGTCTTCTTCTTCTATCAACTTCTTGAACCCGAGCAAAAGACAAACTTTTACACGGTTCTTTCTTTGGGGTAATTTCATGAACCTCCCTTGTGGTTTTCAACCGTCTTATCTAGAACTCTTGAGATTTTCAAAATTATATGTAACTCCTCTGATGTTATAATTTTAGTAGCAAAAGCCATTCAACAGTCAAAAGTTTGAATGAATATTTCAAAATGGCTCATTGTGAAGTTAATTTTAGTTTTCTGTAAAATTATTAAAAAAAAATTTAGAACTTTCACAAAACCAGAAATCCACTTTCATCCTTCCTCTCTGCCGTTCTAAAAGTTCATATTCCCATTTCTCAAATTATCTCCACTATCAGCCCCTAAATTCTAAAACCTCAAACTACTTAAGAAAAAAGTAGTATCAAACCCAACAAGCTTCACGGACTGCACTAATCAATTAAGACTGCCTATCCTCCAAATGTTGAAGTAACAACACGGGGCTCATCCTTCTTAAACCTTTAGCCTGCACCTTCTTCTATTCATCTTTACTCCAAGGAAAGCCAAAATGAATTTGTAAGTAATTTTGAATTATGTTTAGGATATAATTGATTATTTCAACAGTGAAACTTGTTTTGTAATTCATTAAACATCTAATTGTGTGAAAAGCATTCGCATGCACAAGAAACGAATTGTCTAATTTTATGAAATATGTTAAGTTTATTATGGCAGTTTATTCGGCCAAGGAAGGTGAGTGTAATATCGAAACCTTTAGAGTATTAGATGAAATTATTAGAAATCCAGGGCAGAGTTTTTCTAAAATTACCCCTTTATCTTTTTTCTTTTTTATAATTTTAGCATAAAATAAGGTGTTGTTAGGTTTGTCTTGTATGGATTATTAGTCATATTTTGTAATGCCGATCTCAAGAAAAGTACAATGTAATTACAAGAAACCATGTCAAGTATAAATAATGCCAATCTTCTGATAAGCAATTCTGAATTACTGGTCACTTACTCCTGAATTACTGGTCACTTACTCTGTTATGAGGTTCACCAGTCCCTATACCATTAACTAAACTAGGGAAGCTTCATCATTTTTAGAGCCCAATAATATAATAGATTACGAAATCCAAATCTTCTTCCGGCTAATACTTTAACGAGATTTTTGCTTAAAAATCAGTCTAATTTAATGGAAATTACCACTGCAATAGTATCAGAATTGCAGCTCAGGCTTGTAACAACTCTGCAATTGACTTGTTATCAAGTCATTGAAAACCTAAATACCTACATCTATTCAGTTCTTAGACAACATACCACAATCATTCAATTAGAAGTGCCCTTTATTCAAACCCATTAGGCATATCTGTTGCCAAAAAACGCTGATATAGAATTATTAGATACTAATCCGATGAAGCAATCGAAGACGAAAATACCAGTCCAACAAACAACAATTTAAGAGATTTAAATGTAGAGTTAAAAAAGGTAGACAAGCGAAAAATAAAGATAATCAAATACCAGAGTTGAAGCAACTAAAGTCCGAACTATTTTTGCATGTCACCCCATTAAAGCCCTTTTCCCACACTTGTAATGCATAGCATTAGACTATTCCCGGTTCAATCTCCTATATTAATCTTTTAGGAATAACAGGGAAAGACAACTGAACTAGGATATAATTAAGAGATGATATGGGAAGATCTTGACATTTGATTTGTCTAGGCAGACGACACGATGGACAAGGACTCACTCAACCACTCATAATCAAGCTTACAAGCAGAATAAATTTAAGACTCAAACGGAAAAGTAATCATTTAGTAATGAAAAAAAACATAGAGGAAATGTATCAATGATTATTAAATCACATATGTGCTCAAGAAAATAGACAAATATATGCATATATCCATTTCGGGTATTCATTATGGGTTTGATACATGCATTTCATCAGCTTTCTAGGATATCCATTTGTCGACTCCCAGGAGGACTAGAGGTAAAAAAGAAGAAGAAGATAGCATTAACCATTAACTAATCAAACATAAAAGCTAACGATTCGACCAAAAAAAAAAAAAACTAATAAAACATGTTAACATTTGAGAAAAGGTTAATCCACTTGTCATGATGACTGAAATGTGATAGAGAAATGCTAGAATTTTTGGAAATATCGTTTCTGAAAAGGAAACTGATCCTAACTCAAATCATGGCTCAAGCAGCAGCACAGGGAGGGCTCCAGTAACAGATTTTAATGATTTGCAATTGGAAATTGACACCAATGCAGACCCAATGATGCCCATGCCCAAGCCCAAGACTATGCCCATCCTAATAAGCCAGTTGTAGTCCAACATCCTTTGCAAATTGAAGGCCTAAAAACGGCACTTCTAGACAAAACAAAACTCTGTGAATCGAGTTTGTCCCACTTACTCTAAGCCCACAAAGATCAAGAAAAAAGGGAAAACCAGCAGAAACAAAGGAGTACTGCTTAGAGTCCAAAGAGCATAGATTGGTTGATGAAAAGATGATGCTGTTGATGGCATGCATGCATGCAGCTTCTGCTTCTACTCTTGCTACGGACGAGATGGTTCTTGGTAACACTCGTGAAGCGGCGGAGACTGGTTCTCAAAGCAAGTCCCGCCGAACCCAATTTATCTCATAAGCTGGAACTGTCGAGGACTTGGGAACAGTGACGGCGCCAAGATTTTTTTTTAGAGAGAATATATTATTTTCAAAATAATTTTCATTCATTTAAATATATGATATCTAAAAAAAATTAAATATTAACTTTAATTATAAATATATATAAACTCTCATAATAAAAACTAAAATTGTAAAAAATTAAGAGAGCCAACTTTCTTTGTACATATATTTACACACTATAAATTAAAATTTTCAAAATTGAGGGGGGCCATGTCCCCATCAGTCCTCCTTGACTCTGTCATTGCTTGCGAACCCTAGGAGGGTTTGTGCAATCTATGATTTAACCAGTCAAAAAGCTCCCAAAATTTTTCTTTCTTTGCGAAACTAAATGTAATGGTAGGGTAGTTGATCAGTTAAAATCTAAGTTTAATTGCTTTAGTTTTTCGGTTGATGCTAATGGTAATTCTGGTGGTTCAGCTCTTCTTTGATGTTTCTATCTTGAGTTTTCCTCAACGTCATATTGATGCAGTTGTTAGAAATGATACTGAAATGCAACCTTGGAGGATCACAGGAATTTATGGTGAGTCCAATACTTCTCTTCGGCGGGAAGCATGGACCACTTTCAAAGCTTTAAAGAACAATTCACAGATTTTTGTTTTGTTTTTTGGGCATAACTACTCACAGTTACATCTTCCTTGGCTTTGTTTCGGTGATTTCAATGAAGTCCTGTATCATGACGAATTTCAAGGCGGACTAATCAACCACAATGGCAAATTGATTCATTTCGAGAAGCACTCAGCCACTGTGAAATTGATGATCTCCGCTTTGAGGGTTACAAATATACCTGGCTTTGCAATGCTTTTTTTCCTAACACAAGTAGAGCCTGTCTAGATAGAGCTCGTGCAAATCATGCATGGAGTTCCCAATTCCCGTGGTCATCTGTGCAGCACCTATTCTCTCATGTTTCGGACCAGTGCCCTATCCTGGCTTCTGTTAAGGATAGGAACACTAATTTGTTTCTACGGAGGGAAAAAAACGTCCCTTTTGCTTAATGGCAGAGCTAGAAAAAATTTTCAGTTGGGGTAAAAGCCACACTAAAATTTTTTACTTACTGTTTTTTCTAGTTTTTTAAGCAAAAAAATATTCATCAATGAGTTAAAATGAAAAGGTTTTTTTTAGTTTATTTCTGTTGGGAAAGGGGTACCAATACAGGCACACAATATCAGAATTAGCCCAGGACAAATTTCTTTTTCCTCAAGTACCAGTTAAAATAGGAATAAATCAAATCACCAAGTAATAATACCAACAGTGATAATAAAATGTAAGAAAAATAAAAGGCACAGAACACCAAAATTTTTACGTGGAAAACCCAAATTGGGAAAAATCACGGGATCTAATCCAGTCAAAAAATCTCCACTATCACAATAATGGGAATACACAGGTCTATTCGAAATATTCGGATGACAATAATAGCACCAATATCAACCAAGCAAATTGCTACAAAATCACCTCCAAAAAACTACAACTGTCAAAGAAATGGGTTTGGAAAGGTGTTACCAAACGAAAAGAAAAATTGAAATATGAATCAGTAGATGAGTAGAGCTTGATGAGAGGATCCCGTGTGTAAAATTTCGTCTCAATCGGATTTCAAATCACCTTCCAATTGAGGTTTCAAAGTTGCAAAGAATTTTCTCTCTCTAGCTCTCCCTCTTTCTTTCTCTTCGTCTCTCTCAAAGAAAGTGGCGGCTGACCTTTTCTTTTCTCACCCGAAGACCGAAGCAAAAGAATTGCTTATGCGGCTGCCGCTTGCTCCTGTTTCACTTGAGAAACCCTCAAGTGTTATTTATGTGGGTTGGCCCACAAATGGGTTGGCCCACAAATGGGCTGGCCCACCTAACAATCTCCCCCTCCAGCTCATTTGGGGGTTCCACCAAATCTGCTTCTTGTCTACAAAATAAAAGTTTCTCCTTAGGTAATGCCTTGGTAAACATGTCAGCACCATTATCATCTGTATACACCTTCTCAAGTGTCAACAACTTGGAATCCAATACTTCCCGAATCCAATGATATCTCACATCAATGTGTTTTGATCGAGAGTGAAATGTAGAGTTTTTACACAAATGAATAGCGCTCTGACTGTCACAATAAAGACTATGTTTATCTTGTTTCATACCCAACTCTTGAAGGAATTTTTGCAACCAAAGAGTCTCCTTGCATGCTTCAGTGGTTGCAATATACTCTGCCTCTGTACTAGAAAGGGCGATACATTTCTGCAACTTACTTTGCCATGACACTGCTCCTTCTGCAAAAATCATCAAGTACCCAGATGTGGACTTCCTATTATCAAGATCACCTGCCATATCTGCATCAGTGTATCTATCTAGCATAGTTTTATCATTGCCGAAATATAGACACAATCTAGAAGTTCCATTGAGATACC